ATATTTTTCAGTTAAAATCCCGGGGTCCAGTTCAGTTCAGTTAATTAATATCAGTTCAGTTTCGTACTTAACCGGTTTCAGTTATACCGATTAAGTCCGAATATCATGTCAGGTTTAGTAGAGCATCTTAACATAATTAATCAGTTAATTTATCAGTCTCAGCATAGTCAGTAGTAATTGTTTATTTTATTTTCAGTTTGATCAGGCATCAGCACTACTTTCAGCTTCAGCAGTTCAGGTGGGGACTCAGACTAAGTACTACATTGCTTATAATTACGCTACCATGTTTGAGGTATGTATTATCAGTTCAGTATCCGCTCGGAATGGTCGCTGGTCCATTCTGGGTTCTAGTCGCCTTAATCTGCCCACTAGAGTGTGCACATGGTGTCCGGTATTAGTTTTTGTCGGCATATGTTCAATTATCAGTTACGTGACTTATGTCGCGAGATCAGACTGGTATCTGATATCAATTTCAGTTTCAGTTTCAGTTCAGTTCAGTTATATATGCCAGGATCATGATATTGTTATTATATTCACTGTTTTACTTTAGTTTGAGTTTCTGCGGAGCACAGTGCCTTAGTGCTCACGCCCCCACATATTTCATGTTTTTTAGGTCGCAGAGTCGGGGACGAGGAGTGAGCTGGCGGGCAGTTCAGGATATTTGTTGATATATGTATATATGTTTTTGCCACGCTGTTATTTCCGCTAAAACTTTCAGTACTTAAAACTCAGATTTTGATCCGACGTTAGTCGGTTAAAATACTATAACCGTTTTAATTATCAGTTTAAAAATTTAACGGTTTTCAGAAAAGTCAAGTTTTCACGGTAGCACTCCGAACCAGTTTTTGCAAAATAAATATTTTATTTATTTATTCAGTAAATTTGCGAAAAATGCGTACTCTGATAGTATTAAAAAGTCGGGGTGTTACAATTGGTATCAGAGCACGTTTCTGCGTCTCTGAAAAGTTTTCAGTCAGTAATTTTCAGAAAAACCTGAACCGTCACGCTCACGCCTCGCCGACTACAGGTAAGTGCTGATTCAGTTTTCAGTTATAAACATATTACTTTGTCTATGCTCAGAAATTATTAATCAGACTTACTTAAGATGCTCGAATCAGATTCAGGCTTTAGAGTTCAGATATAACTCTAGAATTCAGTATATTCATATATGACTTTAGAATTCAGTATACTCAGAGATGACTCTAGAATTTAGTATCTTTCGATATGACTCTAGAGTTCTTCAGGATTCACGTCAGTATTTATCAGCCAGTTTTGGCAACTCGTCAAGAGATTTGTGTGCCTTAGTAATCAGTCAGAATATTATCATGTGTTCAACAATATTGAACTTTTTCAAATGATCAGATGTCGCTCCGTAGGGAACCCGATCACCAGACTCCTACTCAGGCCACAGTAGTCGCACAGTTTCGCGACTACCATGCCGAGAAATTCTCCGGGCAAGGAGATCCCCGTATCGTGGACGTGTGGATTCAGGGCCTTGAGTTTATCTTCGAGGTCATGGATTGTCCAGACAGATATCGCGTAGTATGCGCTCAGCTTCAGCTAACCGGTGATGCCCGGCTCTGGTGGAATGCCTACTGGAGCATGCGACCCGGTGAAAAGGAGGGTTGTACATGGGATAGGCTCAAGGAGCTGATCCGCGAGAAGTACTACCCCAGCTATTACAGAGCAGAGATGGAGCGTCAGTTCTTATCGCTCCAGCAGGGTACTCGGTCTGTTGACGAGTACGAGGAGTTCACCAGACTTGCAGGTTTTGTTCCGGACCTGGTTCGTACGGAGGCTCAGAGGGCACATCGCTTCATTGACGGGCTTTACCCAGCAGTCCGTCACAATATCGTAGGCCACGGGACACAGACGTATGCTCATGCAGTTGCCATTGCCCAGGAGGTGGACGCCAGTATCAGGAGGGAGGCCGTCCGTGAGCAGTCTCAGCCATCTGCCCCTGCTCAGTCATCTTCAGCTCCACTGTTGCCACTAGCCCTACCAGTTGCCCAGCCACCGAAGAACAACAAGAGAAAGGGAAAGGGCGCACAGACTGACAGAAGGACTCGTAGGAGGCAGCAGCAGATTCCACAGTGCCCGACATGCGGACGACTTCACCGAGGCGAGTGTCGCTTTGGCCAGGATGTATGCTAGTATTGTCATGAGCCCGGACACTTTGCTAACCGATGTCCGAAGAAGGCACAGCAGCCCCAGCAGCCTCAGCAGCCTCAGCAGCCACCGCAGCAGCAACAGCCCGTCAGCAGGCACAGAGGCCGCCTCAGCAGCAGCAGCAGAGGGGCAGACAGCAGGCACGAGTTTACGCAGTCGATCAGGCAGAGGCCGAGCAGCAGCCAGGTATTATGTCAGGAATAGTTGTTCTTAATAATGTTCCTGTGTTTGCTTTGTTCGATACTGGAGCGACACATTCTTTCATTTCACGACGATGTCTTCATGCCATCATAGTTCATGCCGTTACCGCTGTCGATCCTCTCGAGGTGAGTTTAGCCTCAGGACGAAAGATAGTGACCTCAGCTAAAGCTTCAGATCTTAGCCTTTCCATCGGTGGCCGAGTATTGTCTACCGATGCATTTGTTCTCGAGATGAGGGACTTCGACCTTATTCTCGGAATGGATTGGCTATCCTTTTATCATGCAGATATCAGATGTCACGATCGGGAGATTACTCTTTATCTTCCGGGAGATGATTCGATTACTTTCTTTGGCTCCAGGAATCGTTCATTGCCTCACGTTGTTTCAATGGCGAAAGCCACTAAGTTGCTGCGACAAGGCAACTGCCAGGGTTTTCTGGTGAGCCTTGTCGATGATTCTCAGAAAGCACGATCACCTCACGATGTTCCAGTTGTTCGTGAGTTTGTGGACGTGTTCCCAGACGAGCTTCCAGGAGGACCGCCTAACCGGCAGGTGGAGTTCTCTATCGATCTCATTCCAGGAGCCGGTCCAGTATCCAAATCCCCATACCGTATGGCGCCGAAGGATTTGTAGGAGCTTAAGACTCAGATTCAGGAGCTGTTACGACTCGGTTTCATCCGACCGAGCGTGTCACCTTGGGGAGCACTCGTTCTCTTTGTTAAGAAGAAGGACAGATCCATGCGCATGTGTATCGACTACTGGGATCTTAATCAGTTGACGATCAAAAATAGGTATCCGCTTCCCAGGATCGACAACTTATTTGATCAGTTGAGGGGAGCCTGTGTATTTTCAAAGATTGATTTACGATCAGGCTACCACCAGCTGAAGATTAAGGAGTCAGATATCGCTAAGACCGCTTTCAAGACTCGTTGCGGCCATTACGAGTTCGTCGTCATGTCATTCGGTCTCAGCAATGCTCCAGCGGTTTTCATGGACCTGATGAACCGTATGTTCTATCCCTACCTCGATCAGTTTGTTATTGTCTTTATTGACGATATTCTTATCTACTCGAAGAGCCAGAAGGAGCACGAGGAGCATCTGAGGGTAGTTCTCGAAACCCTCAGACGAGAAAAGCTATTTGCAAAATTCTCCAAGTGCGAGTTCTGGCTCCAGCGAGTAGCCTTTCTGGGTCATGTGATTACTCAGGCAGGAATCGAGGTGGATCCTTCCAAGGTCTCAGCTGTTCAGAACTGGTCAACACCGAGGAGTCCGTCCGAGGTTCGCAGTTTTCTCGGTCTAGCTGGTTACTATCGCAGGTTTATCGAGGGTTTTTCCAAAATCGCCCTCCCTCTATCCCAGCAGACGAGGAAGTCTGTGAGGTTCGTGTTGGGTTTGATATACCGTACGGAACAGAGTTTACAGCGGAATTAAAAATTTTTATAAGTATTTATCTTATAAATACTTATTCCGT